GGTGGGTCCCGCCGGCAGAGGAAGCTCTGGGGCTTCATGCCTCCGCACCCCAACACTCGCGTGTCTGCAGCCCCGCCGCGGCTGTGTCGAGGGCTTGGAGAAGCACAGCCCCGGTGAGGGGAAACGGGGCTTTCTCACGATGGCCCGGATCCGCGGGGCTCTGGCCGCCGGCGCCCAGAGACTTCCTTTGCGTTTTGCAAGGATCAGAAGTGAGTGTCACAAGTGCGCGCCTCGCGGAGAAACCCCGTCCGTTTGCACGTGAGGCTTTGCTCGGCCTGGGAACGTTGCTCACCCCGGGGACCTGGCCCCTGCAGGGCTGGCCTCTGCTGCTCCGGGCTGCAGGACTCTTTCTGGCAAATGTCTCAGGAGACACAGCGTCGCCTGCAGCCTGGTGCCTTGTGGGCTTGCAGCTGCTGAGCCCAGACAGCTCAGGGCAGTGCTGGGCCTGTGTCCTGCGAGCCGCTGGACAAGGCAGCAGAGGGGCCTCGGGAGCTGCAGAAAACTCTTCCCCTCCTCTGGGGGCACGCCCGCTGTGGCTGGGCCCCGTCTGCGCCGTGAGCTAGCTGGTAGGGATCAGCACGGCACCGCCGGAGGCAGTGTGGACCGGCCCTGGACAGCAGGGCTGTCAGAGGAGTTTAATCGCTCCAGCGCCGTCTGCTATGAGCAGCCTCTCATTACAGAGTCATAGGATGTTAGGGCTGGAAGGGCCTCAAGGCAGCATCTAAATCACCCCAGACTAATGATTGTTGAACCAGGGCTAAAATGCTTCCCACGAAGGACAATCCAAGGCCTCTGTCCCGGTGCTAAATGACCACCTAGGGCCCAACCTACATTCCCTTGTTGCAGTCGAAGCCCAGCGACTGTCTTTCAAGCCTGCCGCGATTCCTGCCCCTCTCCGAGCGGGTAAGAGCACAGGCTCGGTCCTGCCTGTCCGGACACCTATTACAGTAACCAGGTTTTTCCCGTTTGCTCCGAGCCTTCCAGCTCCGCCTGTTCCGTGCGAGGTCTTGAAGTAGGTGCTGAGGGTGGGAGCGAGTGCAGAGGCTGGAGGTGTGACCCTGGGGCGAGCGTGTTGGAAGCTCCTCTGTTGCACGCACCTCACCCCGAGGTGGCCTTTGTCCCTCTTCTCTTCTCTGTCAGATAAAGCCACGGACCCAAGCATCCCCGAGGAGAACTGGGAATGCATCCAGCGGTTCTGCGACCAGGTGAACACCGACCCAGAAGGGTGAGTGAGGCAGCAGTGCTCTTTGCATTCGCTCTGAGCTCTGCGCTGCATCTGGCGCCGAGATTATCTCATCACAGAGGGGAAAAGTAATCTGCAAATCATCCTGTTGTAGCGGGAGGGCTCAGAGCAGTGACTCAGGCGCTGTGGTGGGAGGGGGCGGCCTTGCTCTGATAACAGGTCAGAACCAGCTGCAGGGGCACGTCCAGCCTTCCAGTCCTTCGCACCCCTGTGCCGAGCGGGTGCAGGTTTCTTAGGGGCTGTTCTGCACAGACACGAGTGCCCCTCATGGGGCTGCAGTCCCCACTGGAGGAGCTGATCGAGCAGGAGGGCCGGCCAGTGCCGCAGATCCTGGGCTTCTCCTGGGCAGAGGCATGCGTTCGGGCAGCAGGTCCTGTTCCTTAATGACCAGTCGTCCTGCTGGAGGTGTGGAGTGCACGGCCCCAGCACCGGACCTGTCTTTTGGCAGCTCAGGAGACAGCATGCCGTGGTCCTCCCAGGGTGATGGCCCTGTGCTGCCCATGCTCTGCAGCAGGCATGACCATGAGGAACTGTAATCATTCCCACCTGGGAAGCTGCTGCCTGCCTGCTTCCCTCCCTCACCTCTTGAGGGGTAGACCCCAACCCAGCACTGAGCCAAAGGGAGGGCCACACTGGGGAGCCTGGTAGCTGCCCTTCTCTCCGCCGTAGAAGCAGCAGTGTTTGCTTTCAGGAGAGGCCATGCACTCCCTGACTTGTTTCTGTTGCTCCCCAGCCCGTCCCTTGCACCACGACTGCTTGCCCATAAGATACAGTCGCCGCAGGAGATGGAAGCTCTTCATGCCTTAACAGTAAGTGCTTTATCCCCACGCTCACATGGGCAGAGGGGAGCTGGAAATGCCCTTCTCAGGGCACACTTTGTGTCTAGCACTTTAAAAAAAAAAAAGAAGAAAATAAAAGAACTGTCCCCTTTCACTTGTTCCTGGTGCACATGATTGTAACGGAGAAGCTTTGGAGAGTGCTACTGTGGGAGTAACCACCGTGCCGGCCTCCCACGCAGCTCTCCCTCAGACAGCTCAGTCCCAGGCTGCGCGCTCTGCATTTCCAGCCCACCGCTCTGCCGGGCCCTGTCTCCCTACCTGCACCCCCCTCCCATGAGTCCTGTGCTCCGTGTTCCCGCTTCAGGGTCAGGCTCTCTCATGCGTTCACAGCATCGCGCGGTCTCCAGGATCCCATCTTCCCCTTCACGTCAGACAGGAGCCCCTATAGGATGGCCTGATCAGTCCCCACTGCCCACTGGCTCTCCTGGTCCTGGCCTGCTGCACCCGGGGCTCCTCTGACCCTAGGCCAGTTCTGCCCACATAGCCTCCCAGTAGAATTCGGACCTGTGAGGCCATCAGCTTCAAGGCTGCTCCGTGGCCTTCCTGAGTGCAAGAAGGGGTCTGCCAACCCCTGGTAGCTGGCAGAAGGCCTGTGTAGACACACCTGTACTGTCTGCCGCTGCCGTCTCCAGGAACGCTCTGCTGACGAGCTGCTGTAGTACAAGTATGTGGATGTGAATATACTATGGTGGCTTCTCCGTCTGCTGGCAGGATGCCTGGCAGCTAGCATAGACAAGGCCATGGGCACCCCTGGAGTGGAGCTTGCTGGCTGCACCACAGCCTGCTGTGCCTGCGACTGTTTCCTGGAGGGGAAGAGCCAGTTCATATCACCTCGCTTTGCTGCTCTGTCACTGCGGGGACGGGTCTGGGGTTTGCAAGCGACAGTCATGGTCTGCCATGTTCTGGTGCTCCTCCTTGGCTGGGGTTTCCTCCCTGAAGTGCTGTCTGTTTGCTCATGCTCGCTGCTTTTAAAAGGGTGAAAATGAATGAATGATGGGTAAAAATGACACACGTAGCCCATCAGTAACATCTTTAGTATCTTTTACATGTGTCTGGGTTGCCAATAGGTTCCTAGAAATATGTCCTGCTGGCCCAGCCTGGAGGAATGTCTGGTCAGTTTTGCACGGGCGCGGGGCTTTGCTGCTGGTGGTGTGGCTTAATTCATTTCTCTGCAGGTGCTGGAGACGTGTGTGAACAATTGCGGGGAAAGGTTTCACAGCGAAGTGGCAAAATTCCGATTCCTGAACGAGCTGATCAAAGTGCTGTCCCCAAAGGTAGGTGAGCCACAGCCTCAACCCAGCCGGCCGAGCATCCTCAAGAATTCACGTAGGAAGGTGACGTTCGTGCTGATTGCACGTGGGCACCGAGTAGGACGGTTCTGCAGTGCCTCGCTGGGACAGCGCGTGCCGGGAGTGGAATCACTGCGACATCATTTTGGAAATCGAAGGGGAGTGCACAGAGCTGAGGAAGGAGTGCAACCCCTCTGAGCTGCTGGGTGAGCCCATGTGAGGTGTCCAGTGTGGGGAAAGCACCCGGCTCTCGGGCCAGAGCCCCTTGCAGGAAGTGTCACTAAACACCAGGTATTCACAGCATGCAGTAGCACTGCCTGGACTAGTAGCATCTGGAGCTCACACGTAACCAGAAGCAGTCCCCTGTTCACACCTAGGAGGATTTGCTCTCAGCAGGGCTGTGCAAACACAACTCTCGTGCTTCAGGGTCTGGAGCTCGCTCATGCAAAGCCTGGTTGGGGGGTGCTGCCTTCGCCCTGCAGATGTGCCCATGGTGGGTTGTACTCTGCCTCTTCCTGCTTGCCTGGTGTCTCTGGCTCTTTCTTTCTCCCTACTCACAGCTCCACTGGGACATGGTGGGGCCCCTAGAAATGCTGGAGACTCTTCTTGTTTCTATCCAGCTTGTGCTTCATAGTGCTGGGCTCTTGGCTGCCAGCTTTCTGGGAACACCCCAGAAGCCCAGACAAGAGCCTCTGAATCTGCACCAGCACCTGGGGAAGGACAAGGAGCTGGAGGGGGCTGTAAAAGATTTATGATCATGAAAGAGCCTCTAGGAGAGTCTAGAAAGAGTGGGAGTGAGCCGTGAAGAATACACTACCCTCCCCCCTCCTTTTGCTTCTCTTTCTGCTCAGTGTTCAGTCTTTTCCACTCCTGGATCTGGCTGTACTGTTTGGGTTGGAAACAAGTCAGGGAATGTTTAAGTACAAGCAGGAAACTGTTTTCAGTGTAATTAAAAGCAAAACAAATGAAGGGGACTTCTCCTTCGGCTTTTGCCTTCCCTGCTCGGAGCTGGTCAGACAGCACCCTCACTATTTCTTGGGGTATATTATTTACTATACGTTTAATAAGAGAGTCTTTAATTGAACACATCACTACAAATGCTTTCATCAATTGTAGGATTTGTAACTAGCAGCACCATAAATAACGCATCGGGAACCCGTTACCAACACCGGCTCTGTGCCTGAACGTTCTGGGGCTGAAGCCAAAGCCCTTTGGTTGTAACCACTTTCCTTTTTGTTTTTAGTATTTTGGAAGCTGGTCATCAGAAAAGGTCAAATCAAGAGTCATAGAAATAATGTTCAGTTGGACGGTTTGGTTTCCTCAGGAAGTTAAAATCCGGGATGCTTATCAGATGCTGAAGAAACAAGGTTGAGTTCTGTTATTTCAGTTTCCTTTTTCCCCCTTCAAAGTCACGTGGCTTCAAACCACAGAGAGCTGACTAGAGACTTGAAAGCCTTTCCAGCATGATTCAGCTGTTCCCATAGTGGTCTCGGTGTGCGGGGAACGAGGGTGAAGCACTAGATCTGTAACAGTCTGGGGGCACCTAGAGATCTGGGGAGGTGCTTGCTGGGAGCACGTGTGCAGAGAGCACAAGGGACTTAGGTGCCTGTCTTCCCCTGGAAGGCAGCGGGAGTTAGGGCCTTCAGCCGCTGGTGTCTGCCCAAGCTGTGTACCTCTGCCCCAAAGTCCTACTACAGGAAGCTTGTTGCCTGCACGGTCTCACCTATGCACAAGTATTTGCCTCCTTGTTGGCCCGCTGATCCAGCAACAAGCATGCTTGGCAGGTGTAACAGGAACATTACGGTGCCAGTGGGTTCAGCCCATCACGTGTGAAGAGGTGGGGGTTACAGAATCATAGAAAATGAGGGTTGAAGGGACCTCAGGAAGTTGCATCTAGTCCTACCCCCTGCTCAAAGCAGGACCAGCCCCAAGTACATCATCCCAGTTAAGCTTTGTCTACCCAGGTCTTCAAAACCTCCAAGCATGGAGACTCCACCACCTCTCTGGGTGACCTCTTCCAGTGTTTTACTATCCTCCTAGTGAGAAAATTCTTCCTAATATCCAACTTAAACTTTCCTTGCTGCAACGTGAGCCCATTGCTCCTTGTCCTGTCATCTGCCCCCACTGAGACCAGTCCAGCTCCATCCTCTTTGCAGCCCCCCTGCGGGGAGGTGAAGCTGCTATTCAATCCCCCCCCGCCTCAGTCTTCTCTTCTCCAGACTCAATCAGCCCAGTTCCCTCAGCCTCTCCGCACCAGTCCTGTCCCCCAGCCCCCCAAACCATTTTTGTTGCCTTCCACTGGTCTCTCTCCAATGTGTCCACATCCTTTCTGTAGTGGGGGGGGCCCAAAACTGGACACAGGACTCCAGACGTGGCCTCCCCAGTGCTGAACAGAGGGGACGCTCCTACCGATGCAGCCTAGGATGCCGTTAGCTTTCTTGGCAACACGGGCACACTGCTGGCTCCTGTCCAGCTTCTTGTCCCCTGTCACCCCCAGGTCCTTTTCTGCAGAGCTGCTGCCCAGCCAGTCGCAGTCGGCCCCCAGCCTGTCCCAGTGCAGGGGATTGCTCTGTCCTGAGGGCAGGACTTTGCATTTGTCCCTGTTGAACCTCATGAGATTTCTTTTGGCCCAGTCCTCCAATTTGTCTAGGTCACTCTGAATCCTAGCCCTACCCTCCAGCGTATCGACTACTCTTGAAAACTTCCAAGCTTGGAGAATCCGCAACTTCTCTAGTTGCCCGTTCCAATGCTTGACCACCTTCATAGTCAGGAAGTTTCTTCTCATCTCCAACCTAAATTTCCCCTGCTGCAGCTTGAGACCATTACTCCTAGTCCTATCTATCCCTGACAGCCACAGAGAAAAGTCCATCTCCATCCTCTCTTCAGTCATCCTGCAGGTGTTTGAAGACTGTTACCAAATCCCCCCCATCTTCTCTTCCCCAGGCTAAATAGCCCTAGTTTTTGGAAGCCATTATAATGTCATTCTCTTTGTTACTTGTTTCAGGGCTCGTAAAACAAGACCCCAAACTGCTGGAAGACAAAATCTTACCCCCTCCATCACCGCGACCTAAAAATTCCATTTTTGATGTTGATGAAGAGAAGTCCAAGGTAAATCTCGGGTGGGTGAAGGAGGTGGACAGGCAGAGCCTGCTTGTGAGAGCCCAGGGTTGGGAACTCGCGGAAGTCTCTGCTCTGCCATTCTCCCCCACACCAAGCACCGACCCCCAGACTGCTGGCTGTGCTGGTGGGGCTCTCTTATTTCCTCCTCCTGGAGCTGTTTTGAGGTTTGTAGGAGCAGTGTCTCTGTCCCCATTTAATCACGTATCCAAGTTGGAATAGGAGAGCGAGAAGGGGAGACTGACAGACAGACAGACAGACTGGCTCTGACAGCGGGTGGTCAGGCCCGGAGTAGTTCCTGCTGCCGGCAGTTTGCCCTTGCTGTGACTGGTGCAAGGCTGTCACAGGATCCTGACCAGGCAGTGAGACAGAGCCCGTGTGTTGCGGGGCTCTCGCCAGCTGTGGCAGCTTTACACATCCACGTGTATGAGCTGAGTGGCTGTAGCGTAGCACCTGGGGGCTGTTGCTCATGCTGTTCTTTAACGGTTTCTGCTCAACAGCTCTTAGCCAGACTTCTGAAGAGCAGCCACCCCGAGGACCTGCAGGCTGCCAACAGGCTGATCAAGAGCATGATTAAAGAGGTAGGCAGTGGGAGAGGCTAACAGCTGCCTGCCCGCATCAGGGGAGCTGTGCTCTTGGCAGGTGGGGAGGAGAGACAGGCTGAGGAGGAGAGGCAGCTTCCTTTGATGCACCATCTGTATCATCGCTGCTGCTGCTGCTGCACTGGGGCCTGGAGGGAAAGAAACCAGGGGAGGACTGGGAGCCTGGCAGGGAAGTCTGCCCCAGCAGAACAGGAGGCAGCACGTACATCCAGGAGGCGGGAACTGCTGAGCCGCTCCTCGAAAGGAGACCTGGTATCAATAACATTTCGGTAGTAAACTTTCCCTGCCAAGGGTGCCAGGAGTGACAGCTGCACTGCCCCGAGCACTGAGCAGTGTTGCTTTCAGGACAGGTGCCAGCAGACCTGCTGTGATGTCCCAGGCTTTTGCTTGGGTTTCCCCTTCGAGCTGACAAGCACCTGCGTGGTCTTAGCACTGGCTGGAGAGGGTGTTTACTTTGTGGGTGATGTTTGAGCAAAATCCCACCAGCTCCTGGGGTGAGATGGGGCAGGGGGAGGATGAACCTCTCCACTGGTGGAGCAGCCAGGCTCCTTACTGGGCTAGGCTGAGCCCCATGGGGGGGATCTCATGGTCTGTCACCCTGCATAGTGGCTGGCATGAACCTCGTGTGCCCCACAGCATCAGTTAACCCCTGCTATGTGCCCCGGGCTGGCTCTTGGCAGGTTCATGTCCCTCACAGGCTGCGCGTATGGTTATATTTGATAGTGTTTCCTATGGCTGTGTGAAGCTTCGGACCATGCTTCAGATCCGGAGAAGCTTTGGATGCTTCGGCATCCGAAGCAGCGTGGCCGGATCGAAGCGCTGACTTTGTTGGGCTTTCCAAACTGCTTCGGAAAAGCTTTGGAGCCGCCTGGGAGATCCAGCCATAGGGTATAATGGGGAATCAAAGAAATACCTGCAACTTTGTTGTTTTTTCTGATTTGGATGAAACTTGCAGGGGTGGTAGCCTCTGCTGAGGCCACAAAGCCTGCCAGGTGTCAAGGAGATAAGTGCAGGGGTTTGGGGGGAACTGCCCCTCAAGCTGCTGACAGGCAAAACTGGTGCCTTGGGTGACCCTGCGTGTGTAAAGGCGCAGCGGGGTGACAGCTGCAGGGGTGATGACCCCTGCTGTGACGTCTGCCAGCTGCCGACGAGATCAGTGCAGGGGGGCTCTGAGGCCCTGCACCCCTCACTGCTGACAGGCAAAACTCGTGCCATGGGTGCTTGTGCAACTGTCTGTCTTGGAGCAGTTGATTGTATTGATTCTTTCCTCTCCTTGTGGTTTTATAGGTGTTAACGAGCAATGATTAACATCTACAAAGCCACAAGCTAAGGAGAAGAAAGAATCAAAACAGACAGTCAACTGCCCCAAGACAGACACAGTTGCACAAGCACCCATGTCACAAGTTTTGCCTGTGAGCAGTGAGGGATGCAGGGCCCCAGAACCCCCCTGCACCGATCTCCGTGACAGCTGGCAGGTGTTGTGGCCGCAGCAGGGGCCGCCATCCCTGCAGTTTTCACCCCGCTGCGCCTTAGCACCCATAGGGTCAGCTATGTCACGAGTTTTGCCTGTCAGCAGCTTGAGGTGCAGTTCCCCCCAAACCCTGCACTGATATTCTTGAATCTTGGCAGGCTTCATGCTCTCAGCAGAGGCTACCATCTCTGCAAATTTCATCCAAATCAGACAAAAAAACAACAAAGTTATACATATTTCATTGATCTCCCATTATACCCTATGGCCAAATCTCCAAGGCAGCTCCAAAGCTTCGGAGCCTCTTTGGCCGGATCGAAGCGGGAACCCGGTCCGGAGCTCTGGATCGGATCACGGCCATCCGAAGCGGCCGGATCTGAAGTCAGATCGAATAGCTGCCGACTCGCACAGGCCTAGTGTTTCCCTTTGGTTTTCTCTCCTATGAAGCCCCGGGCCAAGTGCTGGCTGAGGAGTAGTGCACTGAGCACATCCCAGTTGGCATAGCCAGGGCACTGGCTCAGCCAGGCACCTTTTCCCACCCTGCTTTATCGTGCCTCATATCACAGGAACAGGAGAAATCGGCCAAGGTGTCCAAGCGGCTGAACACCCTTGATGATGTCCGCAAGAGCGTCCAGCTTCTGGAGGAGCTGCTGGTGCGATACCGGCGGCGAGAGCTCTCCGCGCCCGACCTGGGGAGGCTGCAGGTGAGCTGCTGCTGCTCCTCCTGCCCAGGCTCCTGGGGTGCTCAGAACCAGTGACTGAGCATGGCTGGGGCTGGAGCTGCCCGTGGCATCTGTCTGTCAGCTTGAGCCTGCACCAGAGCATTGTGGACAGCTGGAGAATGGCCCCTGCATGCTGGGGGGTCCTGCCATGTGGGGGTTTCCTCCAGTCCGGCTGTGCAAGATGGATCAGGTGCGCTCCCAGCTGACAGGCCTCTGAGCTCTCCTGCAGACAGCTGCAAAGTGCATGCTTTTGCTTCTCTTGGCAGTGGTCAGTGCACGTGAGCGTGCTGCGTGCTGAGTACTCAGATAAGCCCTCCTATGCCTGATTCCTTGTCATGCCTGTTGGTGGCTGCACACAGTGCTATGCTGCAGGACCCCATCGGAGGGCTGGGGGTGGTGGGGTGGGAAGCCCCTTCCCCCAGTCCCTGTCCTTGCAGCTCATGGCCCAGCGCCAACAGAGCTTTTGTCTGGCCTGGTGCAGGAGGCGATGACTTGCCTCTCCTTTCCACAGAGTTTGCGTTTGCGGCTGCAGGGGTCGAGTGCGGTGATCTGAGGCTGGGCCAGGCTAGGCCAGCACCTGATGGCCTGTGTTTTCTTCCCCAGGACCTGTCCGAACACTGTGAGAAGCTCCGGCCTCTGCTCTTTCGCCTGGCCAGCGAGACTGTGGACAATGATGAGGCTTTGGGTAAAGTTCAACAGAGCGTGATGCCAGCCCCCTCCTGCCCCTGGGCTCCCCCTCCTGCTCTCCAGTCAGGAGACTGCCCAGTGGTGCATCCCTGTCCCTGGGATGGTGCCCCTAGGTGGGACGAGCAGGGGCCCTTGTGTCCGCACAGTGGGTCTCTACGGTCCCCAGACGGACCATCTGCCCCGCGTCTCTGCAGTGTGCCCATACCTGCCAGTCCCTGCACCCGCCACTTTCCTTGGGCTCAGATCTAAGCAAATATTAACAACAAAAGCAGCAGTTTAAAGGGACACATGACAAAAAACAATGGCCCGAGACCCAGCAAATGCCTATCCAGAGATGTAAGCAGGCCTGAGGTAGCATGGACTTGCATCTCTCTGGGGCTTTCCTTCTGCAGTACAGACATTCTTCGGCATCCTTTCCTGCCCTTCACAGGAGAGTGGCAGCTAGCACTACCCCAGGGTAGAGGCAGGGGCAGTGTCACCAATGGCAGACCTCCCAGGCTCTCGCGTCCAGGTCAGGCTCAGCAGCCTTGTCACAAGGTTTCTCTGGTGTAGTCTGGTTCTTCTGTCTGGAGCACATAGTTAATGCTCAGTAGGGTCCTTAGTCACTCGAGGACGTCTGGTTCCCTCCAGCCAGGACAGCTCTGGGCCATGAGGCTGGTGCATGGGGCGTCCTGCTGAGTTCTAGCCTGTGGGGAGATCCGCTTTCCCTGGCACACCCGTGCCCCCCTCGCCTCCCACCTCGCTCCCTGTCAGGGAGCAACTACAGCGCCAGCCTTCCACAGCTGTGGGACTCAGCCCTTCCTACAGGACTGTGGTCCAGTCTCTCTCTTCGTGTCTAAACACAGTGTTTCTGGGCCTTGTGACTGCCACAATAACCTTGAAGACCAGTGCGAACACGTGCTTTGAGGCCTGCCCAAACAAGCAGAGACCCTGAAGCAAGAGCACAGAGCCAGCGTCCTGCCCCTGGCAGCTCAGTCGGGGCCCATGGAGTCTGTGATTGTGCAGCCACAGGACAGCAGTGTTAGGGGTGGGGTAGGTTTGCAAGTACTTGGAAGGACAGCATGAGAATTCAAAATGATCCTGACAACCTTGGCAGGTGGTGGAGTCTCCATCCTTGGAGGTATTTAAGACCCAGGTAAACAAAGCCTTGGCTGGGATGATGGAGTTGGGGCTGGTCCTGCTTGGAGCAGGGGGTTGGACTCGATGCGACCTCCAATCCTCCTTTTCAATGACTCTGATTCTAACCTGGAGGGAGGATCTAAAATCAAGAGAAAGAAACTCAGCAGACACAAGTGTGAAGTGCTCACCAAGAGCGGAGAAGTCAAGTATGAAATGGCGGGTGCTGGCTAGGTTGCCATAGCACAGAGATCTGGGGCTTACCGTGACTCCTGCGCTCAATATGAGCCAACAGTGCGGTGTTGCTACCGGAAAGGCCTGTCTCACTCCGGGTGCGTTCCCAGGAGACTTGCACGTGGGGCACAGGACAGTTCTTCCCTGTATTCAGTCCTGCCGAGGCTCCCACTGGATGCTGTCCAGCTCTGGCAGCACCCTTTAAAACTCTGAACACGCTGGAGCATCAGGAATAAGTGGGTCATACTGCGTGACTGATGAGGAAAGGGGAGGAATTGGGTTTTCCTTAGACTGTGTGTGTGGCGGGGGGGCTGTGGCTGCAGTGTTCCATTATGTAAAAGGTTGTTGTAAAACCAACAGTGATCAATTGTTCTCCCTGTGCTGGAGGAAGGACAAAATGAAATAGCTTAATATGCAGCAAAGGAGGTTTAGGCTGTTGCCAGGAAAACTGCTCAACTGAGAGGTGGTGACAGGCTGGGACAGGCTCCCTGGAGAGGCTCCTTCACGGGAGGTTTTTAAAAACGGGATGGACAGACCCCTGGTCTAAGTGCCCTTGGCTCAGCCTCAGGGCAGGGTTGTATGGCACAGCCTTGTGAGGTCCTTTATCACCCTGCGCTGGTCACAATAGTTTGCATGGAATTGCTAACCTGTGGCATGGGGCACGTGGCAGATTACAGGCAGCATTGCACAGACAGGGAAGGAAGCAAAAAGCAGAGCAGCACATCAGGCAGGGGAAGGGGATTGGAGTGGGGGGAAGGCTTGGACCTGGGGTTTTAGCTGCGTTTGCTTTTCTGTCTCTGGGCATTGTGCAAAATCACAGCGTCTCAGCTGGGTAAACACAGGTCAGTCTGAGACAGGACTTATGACAGCCCCTGTGCTCAGCCATGGCAACAGCAGCTGGGGTGACTGGCTGGGCCTTGCCCTGTGGCTGGCAGGTTTGCAGGCACGGGCTCCAGCGCGTCTGTGATCCGTGTGGAAGGTGGTATCCTGCTGGCCTTCCTGTTGGAGCAGCCAGGTTTGTCTTCTGTTCCACAGCTGAGATTCTCCAGGCCAACGACCAACTCACGCAAGTACTTGGCTCCTACAAGCAGACTGTACTTGGCCACGACCAGGACAGCAGGGCTGATGCCACAGGTAAAGAATCCTCCAGGGTCCACTGACAGCTGCAGTGAAACCTCCTTCCCCCTACGGCATCTGAGTGGGGCTCTGATGGGCGTGCGGCCGAGACTGAATGCGGAGAGCATGCTAAAGATTGCAGACAAGCATGAACTCCCCCCACCATGCCAGTCAGCGAGCCCTGTCCGCGCTTGGTGGCAGGGAGGTTGTTGGGATGCAGAGCACTGAGGGCGCAGGAACGATCTCTTAGGCCTCCTCCTTCCTCTGTGCTAAAGGTGTAGGCGTAGGTGGTTATCTTAGGGCTCTGTGTATTGACTGAGAAGGAAACTGCAAGGGAAAAAAGGTGGATTTGGCACCTTTTTTGCTTCTTTCTGATGTGAAAAACGTTATTTTTTAGATTAGAAATTCCCACATTCCTAGAAAGGCTGTGCTGGCTGGCTCTGCAGCAGCTGGAGCTGTAGAGAAAGGATGGCAGCTCCAAAGCTGAGGAGGTGAAGGCTGAGCTGTGGGGAGGAGAAGGGATTTTGGCTAGTCTGTCCAGAGAACTGAGGTTTGCCAACAGCCATTGAGCTTTCGGGTGTCGTCCTTCCAGCATGGTGGGATTTCTGTGTGCTGCCTTCTTGGAGTCCTCCAGAAAAAGCAGCGGAAATGGGAACTATCCCTGATCCCTGTAAGTCAGGAAACCAGCATGGGGGCACAGGCCTGGTGCTTACCCCACCTTGTGCAGGGCAGGACCGGGGCAGACACGCTAGAGGGCAGCTTGCACTATTGTCTCACTGACCCAGCCTTGCTGAGGGGCTGCCTGCCCAACTATGTCAGTTCTGTTTATGGACAAAAGAGGAGTCATGGGGTTCTGCCACCTTCAATCCCTTTGCCATGCCTGTCGCGAATGTCCCTGGGACCCTTCACCTCTTGGGGGTCTTGGGCTGGCCCCCCCGAACCAGCCATTAACCCTTCCTGCTGTTCCTGCAGCAGTGCAGCCGCCACAGGGCACTGTGAAGAGCTACACACTTATAGACTTCTCGGAGCTGGATGCCACGTCCCAGCTCCCCCCGGACCCATGGGAAGACGAGGAGGCTGCCTCCCGACACAGCAGCACCACCTCCACCTGCTTGCTTGAAGAAGAGCTGATGTCACTAGGTTTGTGCGCAATGCCCCTGCTCCTGTGAGGTCTTGGTGTCTAGCGTGGGCTCTGGCTTCCTCTTTCACATCTGTCCTGAAAGAGTGGATGCAGCCATGTGTGGGGGGTTGCCCTGAGTTATCAGGGAGCCCATTTTCCCTCACAACACGGAGTCACGGTCTGACTCTGCTATTTGACCCCTGGGCTGCCTCACCTGTGCTGACTGGTCTCTGCTTTTGCTGCTTCCCTAGGCCTCAGTGACTCCCCCGTGATACAGAAGCCACCGCCTGAGTTCAGCTCCTTACAGGTGAGCGATGCCCAGATTGTCTAGCCCAGTGGCTTTCAACTTGTGGTCCACGGACCCCTGGAGGTCCCCAGGCTATGTCAAGGGGTCTATGAAAGATGACTATGGTTGCAAATGAAAAAGGCTGCACTGGTCAAGCTTGTGTGTGTATCTCCCGCAGGGGGGCAAAGCATGGCAGGGTCTCTGGGTCTCCTTTTGACTCAGCCTGTCCCAGCACTCACTGGCTGCAAGGTGAGGGGAAAATGGGGCAGAGAATTAAATGTCAGAATACTGGCCTGCAGGCAAAGGGGTGGGAAAAAGCACTGGTTTGGAGCACGCGCCACAGATCCCCACAGGGTGAAACCGGATCTGCCAGAGCTGCGCTCCTGCCTGCTAGGGTTGGAGGTGTTTCAAGACATTCCAGACCCTAGAACTGCAGATAGCAAAGGGACTTGACTGTCCTTCAAGAAGCTCCGTTTCTGTGGCAGACGGCTGTGCTTTCTGCTCCCAGGGCCTTGTGATGCATGGGGGGTGCCTCTACAAGTATCTGCACCCACAGAGATCCTGGCTGGCCAGGTGGGAAGGGACTAGCACCCACCTCTGTCCCAGCTGCAGCCGGAGAACAGCACTGCTTTTGCCAGGCTCATTTGTACTGAGATGATCACCTTTGCAGCCTGCCAGCCCCTGCCGCCAGCTGTTCAGTGAATTCCTCCAGGGAGACTTGCCACCAAATTACCTCTAATTGCTCTGTTTCAGTTGCGTTTAAAAACACAGCCTTGGCATGATTTGCGCGTGCCCCTATGTTTTGCTGCAGTATTTAGCTCTGTGGTGCCGGCTCTGCAGGAACCTAAAGCTCCTTATTTTGCAGATGGCTGGGCACAACGGATACAATCAAACCGGGAATGCTGATACCCACCATAGCACGGGGCTGGGGAATGGCTGGCAGGACAGCTCTCCAGAGAAGAACACGCCTTGTGGCATGGCCGGGCAGCTGTCTTCACTGCCTGGGACAAAGCCATTTCCCTTGTAAGTCAAGTGAATGCAGCTCAAGTCTGTTTGGAGGCGGGCAGTCCTGTGGTAAGACTGCGAGATCCGAGGGACCTTGTAGAACCCCCTAACTGTAGCAAGCAAGTGAAGGCAAACCGCCCCTGGTTTGGCACTGCACCCATTCCCTATCACTCACAGCTTGATGCAACATTTATCCCTAGCTTTGCTTAATTGCAAACAAGGGTTTTCTCTGCAAAGCTTTCCAGGAGTGTGGAAGCTTTGTGGCTGGATGGATTAGTAACAAGCTGCTTCTGAGCTGGACACATGTACAGTTTAAACTCAGAGCTTTCTCTAGCACTCTGCTACTCTGAAAGCGCTTTGGACGGCTTTCTGCAGACCTTGCTGGAACGTTCTTCAGGGCTGTCAGAGGAAACCTAGCAACTGGCAGGCCAAACGAATCGCCTGGAGATTGTAAGGACAGAAGGGACTGTAACAGGATCTGCCACAGAGAGTGCTGACGAGCGCTGAAGCAGCAGTTCCTTCAGCGTCCTGTAGAATCGGCACAGGCTTGACAATGACTCCCTTGGAGGGTCTGCTAGCAGATTCTTTGCACCCTGCAGGGCTGGGGGGCGTGAGCAGACTGGAGGGATGCTGGGGGGGAAGGGCCACCCCGCAGGAGGGGTGGTTAGTATTCTGCATGCCTTTCCTTCCAGGAATTTATCACCCCTGAAATCGTCCCTGCCAGATCTTCCGTGTAGCTCTGCTGCAGACGTTTTGTTCTCCAGTCTCGCCTGTGAGCTGAAACCTGCTGCTGCTTTGCAGGACTCTTCGCTGGCAAACCTTTTTGTCCCCTTAGCTTCAATTAAACCAAGTAAGAGCAAAGGTTTCTGTGTCCCAGCCCTGTTCAGTGCAGCCCACCCCCCAATCCCCAGCAAGTAGCTATTTTGCCATGGAGCAGCCTGGAAGGCAGTGACAGCTGACAGGGTGATACCCATGTCCCTGGCTCCCTGCCCACCTCCGGCTGACAGACTCCAAGCCCAGGAACGAGGGGTCACAGTTCTGGTGATGCCCCTGCAGCCCCTTGTGACCTTTGTGTTTGAAATCTCCCAGCAGTCATTGCACCTTCCCAGCTGCTCTTCCCCATGAAGGTATAGATTCACCCTTGAGCCTGAGTGCAAGGAACCCACCCTTGAAATGGCCTTGGGCTCCCTGCTCACTAGCCAGGATGCCTCTTGTACGTTAACTTTGCACTGGGCTTCCAAACCCAGCTGGCAGTAGCTCCTCTCATACTGCGAGCAGCTCTCATAGATTGATTCATAGATTGCAAGGGCGGAAGGGACCTCGGAAGATCATTGGGTCCAGTCAGTACAAGGCACTAGCAAGGCAATGAGCTGCTGTCTTCCCTGGTGTCTGCCTGGGAGTAAAAGAGGGCAGTGGTATCTCACTTCCTAGAGCACTGGCAGCAGCAGCATGTCATGGTAAAGGGGAGAGGCAAAGCCAAGGCCAGCAGTGCTCCATGGAGCTTCACAGGGACAGATTCACACCTCCACGTGCTCTGACTTCCCTATTGTAAGTGAAGGGCTTGAGCTCACTTTGCATAGCTGGTGACTGAGCTGACAGCCCAGGCTCCCTGCTGCCTGCCACAAGGGCAGAGTGAAAGATGGATGTGGTTGTGGTTTGCACTGATCTGTGCTGTTGCTAGGGGAGCGTGTGGGCCTCCTGCAGGTCAGGGTGTACTGCTGGCTCTTGTTTGTGTGGCCAGTGCAGCCTGGCCTGTGCCTCACGCATTGCTCTCTCTGGCAGGTGCCATCCCCCCCATCACTGTGTATGACCAGAATGGCTTCAAGGCCATGCTCCACTTCTCCCGAGACCCTGCTCCCGGCCGGGTGAACGTACTTGTGATGGTGCTCTCCCTGCTGAGCACCTCGGCTCAACCAATTCAGGACATTGTGTTCCAGGCTGCGGTCCCCAAGGTGAGAGGTGGGCTCAAAAAGTGATGCTGGGCTGTTCAGAAGTGCCCTGGGTTGAAGCTGTGCCATCTGTAGTGGGGCACCTGCCTTGGCTGTTGGCAGGGGTGTGGCAACCAGACCCGCTCACATTCCTCCGAGCTCCTGTAGCTTTGGCTCCCCTGTGCCACTGGGCCTAGGCACTTGCCAGGCATCTGCCCCAGACACCAAGTGCAGATGTCTGCCCTAGTACCAGGATCTCATATGTGGCTGCAGGACCCCTTGGGCTGCCACAGACAAGAGTAGCTCTCCTTCACCAAGACAGCGAGGGTGCTTTCCAGAGACCTGCACAGACCGCTCGGGACATGCACCTCAGCATGCACCCACTGCTCCAGGTGCAAGAGTCCAGCAGACAGTGTCTAGGCAGCAGGCCAGTGTGTCTGTGACAAGCTGCTGATCTTGGAGTGGTCCCCGCGCTGTCCAGCCGTGATTGAAGCAAGCCTGTTTCCTCTCTCCTGGCAGGTGATGAGAATCAAGTTACAGCCAGCCTCGGGTTCTGAGCTTCCGCCTTTCAACCCTCTGCTCCCCCCAGCTGTGATCTCCCAGGTCCTGCTGCTAGCCAACCCAAACAAAGTAAGTGGCAGTGCCGCCTTTGAAGCTACAACGAGCAGTCGGGCACACGGGGGGGCAATGCTGCAGGGACAACCCGGCAGCCGGGGCTGCCTCAGGGAGCCTGAGTCCCTGCGCATGCAGTCACAGTCCCCGCTGGGTCAGGGACGAGAGCCGTGCCACTAGGATGTGGGACAGCCCTAGGTGCGGTCCTTGGGCTGGCCCAGCCCTGAGGGAGACTGCACGGGGCTGTGTCACGCTCAGGAGGCGGAGGGTGGGGAACGGGGTCATCCACCATCTCTGCAGCCAGGCCAGCTCTCCGTGCGCCCCTGGGGCAGCTGAGGGCTTCTCTGATGGGGCCCACCATGTTCGCTGCTCCTGCTTGCTGGGGTCGAGGTGGTGCCCCTTGGCCTTGGCAGAAGGGCAGAGGGGCACAGACTCCAGGACCTACTGCTGCATGAGCCTCTCTCTCTTCCAGGACCCTATCCGACTGCGGTACAAGCTCACGTTCACACAGGGCGGGCGGCCCGTCAGCGAGGTGGGAGAGGTGACCGGCTTCCCCGAGGCAGAGCTGTGGGGCAGGAGCTGAGTGGCTGGGATGACGGGGTCGGACGCTGCTGCCTGGCCTCACCGCAGACGTGCCAGGGGACGCCTGGGCTGGTCACGAGCGCCCGCGGGGGCCGGCACGTGCAGTCAAGCAGGCACCTGCGTGCCGGGGACAGCCCAGGGCCTCGGCTCGCTCCTGTCCCCACGACTCCGTTTCTTGCACTTGCTCCAGGGCTCCCTGCGGGGCTTGGCAGGGGGGCGCCAGGCTCAGCACAGCCCAGCCCCGCCCGCGGGGGAGGAAGCAGCCCCCCGCCCTGCCCTGCCCTGCCCCGCCGCAGGAGGCAGGCGCTCCCGTCCCACCAGCGGTTCTTCCCCTGCTGCCTCCT